CTTTACCCATCCCTAGAGAGGTTTGATTGCATTAAGTCTATACTTGGAAACAGCTCTGTTTTGAGAGTGCCCTTTGTTCTCCCACACAACTTCAGGATCCCCCAAGCTGCATTTGTTACTGTTTGCTATTCAGTTATGTTAGTTTACATTAAGGGTCTTTTATAAGGCATTCTGGTAAACTGTACTTTTGGTGAAAGTGCCCTGGTTTGCTCATTGCTGAAGTATCAGAATTTCATTTAACTACAGAATGAACCGTAGCAGCATTCAATCTCTAGAAGGTTTAGTTAGTTCAAGCTGCTTTGAAAAAATGAGTTTCTAAAACAAGAACTGGAAAACATTTGCTGCTTCTCTGTACAGAACAAGTCTTTATCATTTACCTTGTCACTTGTGCCTGATGTTAGAAGAAGGAACAGAATTCTAGAGGCTTGAGCTCTCCTGTAGGCAGGGACCTGGAATACTCTACCTGCTGCCCCATCTATCCTCAAAAAGAGGCCTTAARGGAAGAGTTTATTACCCCTTTTTTGTAGTTGTGTTTCTTCTTACCCAGGCCCACAGCTAGATGGCTGAACTGGAATTTGTACCATCATGTTGTATGCTGAAGGGATTTAGGAAATGGAGCACATTTCAGGAAGTGCAGCCCTGTGAGGAGGTTGTGGATGCCTTGTAGCAGAAGCAATGTTTAATTAGGAGATAAGGAAGTGTGAAAAGATAACCACATTTTTTGGGGGGTGGGTGGTACCGGGGATTGAACTCAGGAGCACTCAGCTGCTGAGCCACATCCCCAGCCCTATTATGTATTTTATTTAGAGACAGGGTCTCACTCAGTTGTTTAGCATCTCACCTTTCCTGCAGCTGATTTTGAACTCGCCATCCTCCTGCCTCAGTGCTGGGATTATAGGCGTGCACCATTGCAATGCCAGRCAATTTCCACATATTTGAATAGATTTGTTTGGTCAGCATGATGTCAGTGGAAAGGGACAGTCTCCATACTGTGACATCAGGTCTTTCTYTGACTGGGTTATAAGTTCTTCAAGGTTATAGGTCATGTTTCCTTCCTCTGTGCATTACCAGGGCATCACATGCTGGGATGTAGGAAGCACTTTGGACCAACAGGACAATAAAGACATCTTCTTCCTTTCCCATAGCCACAGTCTGCTTGCTGTTCTTGATCTTGACTCCTATTTTCTCTAATACTTGGATYTGTAAAAGGTTCTCTGTCTATCTTCTACGTTGTATTAGTTTTCTGTTGTTGAGACAAGTTATCATAAATTTTGAAACTGAAAACCACACAAATTTTTTATTTTATAGTTCTTGTATTTAGAAGTCGGCAATGAATCTGTTAAAATGAAAATAATAATAGGGCTGTGTTCCTTCTTCAGAGCTGKAGAAGAACTCATTTCCTTGCTCTTTCCAGCTTCTGTAGACCACCCTCATTCCTTGGCTCATGACTCCTCTTCCATCTTCAAAGGCAGCAACATGTAGCTAAATCTTTCTCACATCATGTCACTAGTTGGCTCCGTTTGCTTTCCTTGCCTGTTATTGGCATCATTGTGATTACATGGGGCCTGCCAGGTAACCCAGGATAATACCCACTTTACAGCCATCTGATTAGCAACCTTAATTCTCCTTTGTTATATAATATTAACAGGGATTGGAATGTAGGCATCCTTTGGGAACATAATTTTTTCTACTATGTATCTTTTTTTTTTTTTAAGTTTTTTTAAGATGTTGATGKACCTTTACTTTATTCATTTATTTATATGTGGTGCCGAGAATCTTACACATGTGAGACAAGTGCTTTACTACTGAGCCACAACCCAAGCCCCTTTCTACTTAATGTGTCTTTTTTTTTTTTTTTTTCCTCGGCAGACACAACATCTTTGTTTGTATGTGGTGCTGAGGATTGAATCCGGGCCGCACGCATGCCAGGCGAGCGCGCTACCGCTTGAGCCACATCCCTAGCCCCTCTACTATGTGTCTTAACATCTCCCTTTTATAACCTTTTTTTAAAAAAATATTTTGGGTATAAAACCATACTCATATAACCCCTATTGTAAAATTTGGTTTTGGAGAATGTTTCTTTCTCAAACTATGATCTGATTCTGTCTTAAATAGAAATATTCCTTCTTTTGCTCTATAATATGTTCATGTCTTAGTTCCTTATTGTCTGTCTGCTGGAATTAATCTCAAAAATAAGTCCTGACAACTCCCAGTTGCCCAGTTCTTCTGGTGACTCCTTCTTGAAGCTGCCCCTTCTTTAGCTTTCTGAAATTTTTCTTAACCTGTTTGCCTCTGAATCATCTTTTTCTTACCTGTCTGCCTCTTCTCTACATCCCCATAGCCACAGAAGACCTGATCTTCAAACTTCTCTTTTACTGGTAATCTCATCCACTCCAATTTTAATTCTGTATTKTTTGATTTTCTAATTGTTTTGGTTTTAGATAGGGCCTTACTATAATGCCCAGGCTAGTCTTACCTTGTRGGCTCCAGTGGACTGTAAGCAGGTATATGCTGTCTGGCAAAATTTTTATTACTGAACCTGATGGTGAGGATTCCCATATTTACAGCTTTTGCTCTGACCTCTTTTCTCAACCCCGGTCTGACTTTCTTACTGCCTCCTTGAGATTTCAAAATGGGAGAACCATGGATCTATAGCATGTGTCCCACACACAGCATGTTTAATTTGGTTTGTTGTTATCCCCTACTTCTTCCATACACAAGGTCTTAAGCATCTTTTACCTCTCTTACCTTGGTGATCTAAGCTAGAAATCRCCACTGTTTCTGGTTCCTTTATTCTCATCCTTTTTCTTTCTAGTCTCTGCCACATGGCAAGTTAAGCCTATTATATAGGCATGTTCAAAGTGGGGAGTGCAAGAAGATTGTTGGGGTATARGAATAAAATGAACTTTATTTTTATCTTATCCTTTTACAGGATATTTTTATTTTAAAACACATAAGAGCCTGGGCATGATGGCACAGGCCTGTAACTCCAGCTATTCTGGAAGTTGAGGCGGGAGGATTACAAGTGTGAGGCTAGCCTTGGCAAATAAGCAAAAATACTCAGCAAGTTAGCAAGTCCCCTGTCTCCAAATAAAGAATAAAAATAAAAAGAGCTGGGGCTGTAGCTCAGTGGTAAAGTACCCCTGGGTTCAGTCCCCAGTACAAAAGAAATACATACATACGTGTGTGTGTGTGTGTATGTATGTGTGTGTGTGTGTGTGTGTGTGTGTATATATATATATATATATATGTTTTGGAGTGGATGCTCCAAAATTCATTCACATGCAAACACTACCAAAAAATTTTTGGCAAGTATGGGGATTCCAGTTTGTTGTAGCCAAAAAACCTTTTCTTTTTTTGGTACCAGGTATTGAACCCAGGGGCATTTAACCTCTGAGCTACATCCCCAGTTCTTTTTTATTTTTTATTTTGAGACAGGGTCTTGCTAAATTCCTGAAGCTGGCTTTGAATTTGTGATCCTCCTGCCTCAGCCTCCCAAGTTGCTGGTATTATAGGCATGCGCCACTGTGTGTGGCCAAAGAACCTTTCCTTAAGTGAAATCTTACTCATTTGAAAATGTAAATCAAAAGCAAAGCTGTTAYGGCCAGAAATGAGGTGGGGCCCAGTTCATTCTGATGGAGGTTCTTGAGGATTATTGCTAAAATACATATTTTTTATTGTTGTTATAATGCTGGGGTTTGAAACTGGGGTCTTATGCATACTAGAGGTACATGCTGTATCACTAAGACACCCCTAGTTTTCTGATGTAGTTTYCTGCCACTTTAGACTGTGTAGTGTAGGTCTAATTGAAAGTTTATGATTGTGTTAGTCTTTGTGGAGATCAGGAGTCACAGTTCCTAAGGTTTTCAGTCTTTCACCTTTTCCTGTATTCTGACATTCTTACTTGCTCATGTGAACTAGGATCACAATACTTTCAGTCCATTTCTCCACACTTCCTTTTTTTCCTGTGTAGATCTTTCTTTGTACAGAATAGGTTCTCAGTGAATATGTGTTGAATGAAWGAACAAGTGGACACTGAAACCTATTAATAATATTAACTTCTGGAGGAGCAGGCTCTATTCTGTACCTGGCTGGTGCACAATTTGTTTTGTCTTGGGATCCCAATTGTGGTCCTTAGACTCTGAGGTTCTGTGTAGTTGCACGTAGAGTTCATGAGCTCCAGCATCTTTTCTGAAGTGGCACTGCAGTGCTGCCACTTCTCTTTAGAACTCTAAGGCATTAGTTTTTTTTCACGGTTGMAAAGTGGCCCTCTTCCAGGCTTCATTTCCTTGCTTAATCGGTTTTGCCAACCCTGAATCTCCTAATGTCAGTAGGACCAAATTTTAAGTGTGTTGATTAAAAAGAAACTCTTATGTAGTATTACTGAGTCAATCCTGTACATCTTAAACCTAATTACATCTGCTCTTGCATTCTGTAAATGTAGTGTTAAATCAATCTTCCCATTGTAGCTAAGGCAGAGTTTTAGATGCACTCTGCCCTGGCTGATATTCTCCCCTAGAGAAGAAACTAACAGGAATTAACAGTCTCCATGAGAGCTGAGGGCTCAACAGTTTATAAGGAAAATCTYGTCTGTTTTCCTTGTAATGTTTCAGGTGCCCTCACCCCTTTGARTGTTCTCCAGACTTTCAACCTGGATGGCCCTGCTACCTGGAAAATTATAACTGGTGCTATACTGACTTCCTAGTCCCAAGAATGGGGCAGCTGGGCTCCTGTGGGGCTCACAGACTTGTCTCATAACAGTCAGCTTAAGCGGGGAGGTGCATGGTTTTTTGACCTGGAGAARGATTGGTTTTTGGTATATTTGTTTTAGGTTGCTGGGRATTGAATCCAGGGCCATGCACATGCTAGGCAAGTGTTATACCACTGAGTGACATCCCCAGCCCTCCCCCTCACTCTCCAGTTGGTTTTCATTGTAAGTCAAACCTCTGCTGTGTGTCAAGTTGAGGCAAGACTAATTGGATTCCCTTTGGTATGCTCAGGTTGCAGATGAATACATGTTTTCCCTGGAAGAGAATAAGAAGTCAAAGGGTCGCCGACAGCCCTTAAGCAAGCTTCCACGCCATCACCCACTGGTGTTACAGGATTGTGTCAGTGATGATGGTAAGTTTAGTCTCCTCTCTTCACTAGGGAGAAAGAGGCTCATCACATTGGGACTTGCTCTGATAAGATGTCAGAAGGTCATGCTCAGAAACAAGAATGGACCTATGGCTTAAGTGTTTTTCCCAATACTCCATACAGATGATGGGATTTCTTTTTGTATCTAATTTGCTAATTGAATTTCATTATCAGTTTGAGTCCTAGGAGTCCTTTCTTAGGAGATACAAGGCTAATTTTTTTTTTTCAGAATAGCAAATTTTGTCAATGATACCAAGCCCTGTGCTGGATGTGTGGATACAAAGGTAAATAAGATAGGTCTGTTTCCTCCAGATGCTCACAGGGTAGTGGGGCAAACAGATTAAAGAAAGAAGAGGCTCCAATCCAGGCAGAGGAGACYGMATGAGTAATCATGGAGAAGAGAAACAGGAGTGGATATGCAGGGAACTGTTCTTGGCTCAGTGTGGCTCAAGTTCAAGGGTAAAGCTAGGGAGTGACAGGTGGGGTAGGAGGAGCAAAGTAGACATGAGGTCAAGTCATAGACAGCGTTATTGTGAGCCCAGAGTGAGAACCTTTTCTCACAGACATTCTGGAGCTCTTGAAATATTTTAAGCAGAAGAATAGCATGGTCAGATAGACATTAGAAAGACTGTTCCTCGTGATGATAGCTTCTTGAGAATGACTTTGAATGTACCAATTGAGCTTCTCAGATATAAGATCTAAGGATGGCAGTGGGAGGGGTGCATGAAGGAAATATAGAGAAGATCAGGCCAGCTGAATTTGGTGACTGGTATAGAGCTGTGAGGGTACTCAGTAAGGGAGAAAGATGAATTGATGGCCTCCCTGGTTTATAGCTTTGGTTGGGTTTGGAGACCTGCATTCAGTGTCTAGAGGATGTAGACTTGGTCAGCTATAGAGAAAGCACGGAAATAAGTGAGCAGAGGTTGAGAATAGGTGCACAGAGGAAGGAAGGAGGAAGCCTGTGAAGGAGACAGAGAAGAGGATGAGGAGACATATGCAAGGAAAACCAGGAACTGTGGCACTAAAGCTCAGGGAATGAGGACAGTAGTGGAGACTGGTTTCCTATGCTGCTTGGAGCTTAGGACTCAATAGGAAGAGTGCTGAAGAGCCTCAGCACACTTGGGAGAATGGAGTCACTTGACTTGTTGCTTTGACTAGAGCTGGGCCTTTTCCCACCTTGTCCTCTCCATATGATCTGATGTCAGAGCCCCATCTCTGCAGTTTTCCTTGGTACAAAGCCTATGATAAGCTAGGTGGGGAACAGTCAGAATAGTGGCCAGATCTGGAGTTGGGTCTCAAGGTGTCCCCTGAGCTTRTGCTCTGGTCCAGTTCCAAGAAGAGTTCCAGCCTACTTTTGTGGTTGTCCACTTCATGCTTTAAAGGAACAGAGACTGTAGAAAACTGAAAAAGCAGAAAAGTTATAGAGGAAAAGAAAATTTCCCATATGCCTATTCTCCAGAGATGAGCACAGTAAATATATAATGTATCATCTTGCTGATTTTTCCATACATGCATATATGTCCATGTATGTCTTTTTAAAAATAATCTGATAAACTCCCCCAGGTTTTTGTGATGAAAAATGCTCAAATGTGGTAAGCTGAAGAGATGGAATCATTGCATGCTTTCCATGTGTGTTTTAACGATTCTTAACCAGAACAGTGTCACTTAGTTTTGCCTTATTGCTTTCTTTCTCTCAGTAACTTAGTTTATGTACATATATATACACACCTGTCTTTCACATTCTTTGAAAGTAAGTTGTAATCATCAGATTACTTCATTTTAATATAGCAATAGGCACATTTCCTAAGAAGGATTCTCCCTTAAATACTAGACTGCTGTCATACCTAGGACAGTAGCTCCATAACATTTTCTTATCCTCCAACCAGATCTTTCTTTTCCTGCTCACCCCAATAATGTGTTTTAGGGTTATACATTATACTTGTAAGTTGGCTTTCTTTAGTCTCTTTAGTCTGGTATATCSTTACCCCATTTTTAAAACAATTTAAATTTTTTTGTGTGCTAGGAATTGAACCCAGGGGTGCTTTACCACTGAGCTACATCATTAATTCTTTCTATTTTTTTTTTAAATTTTTTTTTAATTTTAATATTTATTTTTTAGTTTTCGGCAGACACAACATCTTTGTTKGTATGTGGTGCTGAGGATCGAACCCRGGCCGCACGCATGCCAGGCGAGCGCGMTACCGCTTGAGCCACATCCCCAGCCCTATTTTTTATTTTAAGACAGGGTCTTGCTAAGTTACTAAGGCTGGCCTTGAACTTGGGATTCTCCTGCCTCAAAACATTTACTTGCTGGAATTACGGACATGCATTGGGATTGAGGCATGCCTGGCCCTTGCCCCACATTTTTAAAAAATATATATTTGTAGTTGAGGCATAACATTTTTAGTGAAATGTTAAGAATTAACTATAAGTCTCTGTGAAGTTACACATATGTGAACTGTTAAAATTTCGATTCTTGCAATTTTCACTTAACACAGTGAACATTTTCCCTCATCATTCAGTATTTACATATGGAATGATTTTGGCCGCTTTTGACTTTGTAAAGTAGAACAGACGTCAGTGTTTTACGTTTTTAGTTATTATTATGAGCCTGTCTGTTTTTATTTCTTTCATCACATCTCAGTCACTCTTTTTTAGGCCAAGGTTATGAGACAAATCTGTGGGCACCATGGCTCYTGACTGGATTCGAACAGTGAGGCTCTGAGGGGTTACTTTTACTTGCCTGTACTGGTCTCCTTTTGCTACAGTGGCCTTCACTGAGTCTCCACACAATGGCAGTTGCCAGATCCCTTCATATTGAACATGACTGTGAGGCAGATTAGAAAATGATTTGTCTTTACTGCCAGAAGATACCTAATACAACTCTTAAAAATATAAATTTAATTCTTAGCTTCCTGAGACACTGGATTCAGTACACAGGCTGTTATTGGCCAGCCTCTGGTCAGACTTAGCATTACATTGTAGGGCTAAGATAAGGATTCACTGTGGACATGTGGCACTGCTCTCYTCTTAGGCAGAGCCAGGAGGAATTGGGGATTTCCTGCTCATAATAGGCAGATACTCACTGACCTTTCCAGGGGAAGCTGGCAAGTCTTCACCAAGGACATCATGTGACAAACTTTAAAGTTTGCCAGTTCCCTTTTATTTTTCCTTCCTTGTTTCCCTTTAATACAACTGAAGGGAAAATTCATGAAGGGAAAGGACTTATGGTGCTGACATTTTAGAGGCAACTAATAGCAGAGGGAAGGAAGATGGAGCCTCACTTTGCTATCCTTGGAGAGGGCAGAGGGTTGAATGTGGCAGCTCTTAAGGGGAGCAGAACAAGCTGAGCTCCTGGGTAAATTAATTATTCTTGCCAGAGAAAYGGTACAGGCAAGACSCACTGCTGCGACCAGYGTGGCCAAACTAGSAGGTTCTGGTGAGGGCGATAGGAGATTAGAAAAAATAAAGAGTCACACATGCAGATCTTGAAGGTAAAGCTGGGATCTGGTGGAGCACCGCTCTCTGATGAAGAAACAGGTCYAAAGAATTACACCAGCAATCTTTATTATATATGTCTCATTAATCAGATTAAAGACTGTGCAAACATTATTCTTTGTATTCATGAAAGTTAAAGGAGTTAGCCACAGTATGCAGCTATTTCCTCAGTTACATTCTGCAGTTGTAGTATGCAATGTTGGAAATGCTCAAGAAAGTCCATTGTTTAAAGTTAATTTGTGGCAGATTCAGGAGCAGTGGAACTGGTTATCTTAGCAAGGAAGTTCCTTCATTCCCAGTAGCTGTGTGCCTGAGAGCAAGGTTGAAGCTGATAAGACTAGCAACAGGGTCTCCCTGTGGAGAGCATTACCATAGCAATTGGGCATTCTACACCTTTGCATAGAAACTTTCCCAGTTATCATGCATGCCACAGCCATGAAGTCATCAGGGACAACAGTCTCTGATACTGGTCTCCCAATCACTGTCATCGCTCTCCACAACCCACAACATCATCTAGGTACCAAAGGGGTCTGTTTTTTTTTTTTTTTTTTAAATTTTGTTTTAATTAGATACACATGACAGTACAATGATCTTGACATATCATACATTTGAATCAGATGGGGTATAATTTCTCATTTTTCTGAGTGTACAGGTTGCAGAATCACATTGGTCATGTATATACATAGAGTAAAGGGGTCTGTTGATAATCATTTTACCCTTGGCCTTTGCAACCCTTAGGAGTCTTTGGTTCAGTCCAAACCAAGGTCTAGGAGTCCTGACTGAGCTTATCTGCTCTTCAGGCCATACCACTTGTGTGCATGRCTGGTGCTGATTTATGTTTCTTTTTCTCTCCTAGAGACCTCTGAACAGCTGTCCCCTGAGGAGGAGGCTGAGGAGACAGAGGCCTGGGCCAAGCCCCTAAGCCAGCTGTGGCAGAACCGACCTCCGAACTTTGAGGCTGAAAAAGAATTCAATGAGACCATGGCCCAGCAGGCCCCTCACTGTGCTGTCTGTATGATCTTTCAAACGTACCATCAGGTAGGACCACTCCACATTCTCTGTGTACCTAGGACCAGTAATCACAGGAAGCTASATTTAATTGTGGGTACTTTTTGTTTGTCTTAAGAGGGGCTTTTTTTCTCCCCTGTTTTCCTCTTTTGCCCCACTCATGTGAAATAGGAATTTGGGGATAGAAGGGGAAAAAAAGTACTGAGTTAAAGAGAAGTGCTCACAAACTGTTGGAATGCAAAGCAACCTAGCACATACATCCCTGTGACCATGTCCTTGCCTGCAGAAAATAGCATGATGTGAGGGCAATGCACAAGTACAAGGATATTTGCCCCTAAATTGTGTAACTCTGATTGCTAATTTATGAATATTAACACCCTACACAAGGGTTACTTCTCTCTCAAGATAGCCTATATTCTTTCTTCCACCTTTGGTATGTAATCCTTGCTTTCCTAAATAAATCTCTGCTTGCTCCTCAATATCTGACATATGGTGAAATTTTTTTCCATCACRTATGTCATGGACCCCATTGTCCTGAGTTGAAGTCCTGGTCTTTYATACCTTCTCCAGTCCTCCTCTGGTGACACTTTTATTGGTCAGGTTTCACAGGGCAGATGAACCAGCACTGTGGATTTTTACTTGAGAATGCTTTGGAGATGATGTGGCTCAGGCTCCCCTTGAACTTGCACTCATCACAACTGTTTGCAGAGAATTTTGCTTTTTTATCATCCCATCTAAGACTCTTCCTCCCAGATGTTGTGTAGTTGTGGTCAGTCAGGGTACAGGGCTATTATTTATCAAAGCCTGAACTTCAGGTAAAAACCAGATCCTCTGATGTTGTCACCTTTTTTTCTTTCCCATTGTCACAGTTGGTGTTACCAGTGACCAGAAGTAACTAGKGCAGGGCAGAAGCAGAGGGCCTGATTGAAACAAGGGGGTGGGAAAAGCACAGCTGCTGACCTCCTCTGTGCCTGTCCCATGCTGGTGCATTGATGGCTTCACCATCATGAATCCCTCAGGGACTGGCTCTGGAAGGCCAGGAGGCATTAATAGCAGCAGGTGCCATGTGGCCAGCTCAGGCCCAGCTGGAACCTTCACAGGGTGACATGCAGTTGAGCAGTCTTCTTTGGTGGTTAAAGGGGCATTTGCTGTCCTGAGCCTGGCAGGACCCCGGGTTCACTCATGATAAAGAGTGAAACCTCAGACCAGCACATTTTGGACTAGTAACTCTCTACTTTCCATTGACAGAAACCAAAATGAAGAACTATATGTGCCATTGTGTTGGGGGGAAGTGATTGACCTGGTGGTGGTTACTGTGAGTGAATCTACCAATTGTAGCTCTACTAAGAGTTATATAAATGGCATATATTCAGAGGGTGATGTGTTTTGGTGTTCCATCTTTGGAGTGAGTTTAACAGTGCCATCCAGCATCAGAGTCAGTATAGCTTGCCAAGGGAAGTATGTGGATGTAATGTTCTTCCTGAAGGGGCCTGAAGCCTGGAATCATAGATGGGACTCCAGCTATGTAACAGCTCAGGTGACCTGCTGACTTAGACCATCAGAGGCAATCTGTGCTGGCCCATTGGGAGCATCTGCGCTGGGTGCTGTCCCTGAGTGGGACCAAAAGGCGCCCTCAGTGGCAGCCTTGTTGCCAATATCTTGGTGCATTTTATTACCACTCAGTTTGGGAAGATTGAAATCCCAGTTGCCTCTTACCTCGCTCCCTCCTCTCAGTTGTCCCCTAGGGGCCTTTGTTTGATGCTGCTGTGAGAAATTGAATTTGAGTCATTAGAGGTAACTTCAATTAGTAGCTCTGGGATAATGGCTGTGCACCCGGGAGCTGTAGCCATAGTCATATCGATAAGAGAGGCAGCTTTCTGCTGATGGAGCAGGTGGGAAGCTGAGAGCATAAGTGCAGCTCACTGTGTTGTACGCTTGTTTTTTCCCCTTAGGTCGAGTTTGGAGGTCTTAGTCAGAACTGTGGAAACACTTCAGAATTAGCCCCCCAGAAACAGAGGACCAAGCCATTGATTCCAGAAATGTGCTTCACCTCAACTGGCTGCAGCACAGACATCAACCTTTCTACTCCTTACCTTGAGGAGGATGGCACCAGCATTCTAGTTTCCTGCAAGAAGTGTAGTGTCCGGGTCCATGCCAGTGAGTGCCTCTTGCCTTCCTTTGCATCCTCTGCCAGGAGCATGTTCCAGTTAATTGGAATCCTTGTCACATGTGGCCCTCCCTACCCCCAGTGCAAAGGCTGCTTATGTGTTCTTGGAGAATTTGTTGCCAATCAATGAGTTTGTTTGCACCAGTCAGCAATGTGCTGTCCTCTTGGTTGCACMTGTCCAGAGGGGATTAGTTATGCCACTTAATAGGTGTTTGTACCAGTGAATAAAGTGGTTTTTTTTTTTTTTTTTTTGATGGTGCTGGGGATTGAACCCGGGCTTTGTGCATGTGAGGCAAACACTCTACCAAATGAGCTATATCCCCAGCACATGAATACAATTTTTATGGCCTTGGGCCATACTGTGTATTTGAGCCCAGGGATCTCTGACCAAGAATTCAGGTGTTTTTGTARCATTTGGTATCTTTGGGAGGTGATCTATGGAAAAAAATTGAAAATCCATATTCTCACTCTGACTTCTGGGTTTAATTTGCTTTTCTCCATGTCCCTATTAGGTTGCTATGGGGTTCCCCCAGCCAAAGCTTCTGAAGAGTGGATGTGTTCTCGGTGTTCAGCCAATGCCCTGGAGGAAGTGAGTACTCCCACACTCTTCCTGTCTTCCCCATGAGATTTGGAATATGTTTGGGGCCGGGCTATTTCATGCTGGACTTTATGTCTACTGCAGTCCATGAAGGGCATGGTAGTGATGTCAGAGAGTATATACTATGTAAACAATTCCTATGACAGAGTAGTTGCTGCCCACTTGTGATAAGGCCTGAATGGATCTGGAAGATGTTTGCTCCTTTAATTGAAAACCAGGTTGAGGCCTTTATGTGGAATATTTATATACAACCCCCTTTAAATAATTCACCTCTGAAGTTAGAGCCTTAGGATGGGGACKTAGGTGATTCATTTTGCAACCATCTCTTCATCATTGCCCCTGGAGTGTGGCACCACCCTGCCCAGGAAGCAGACTAGGCCTTATGGTGCTTCCAGTTTTGCAACTTTGCTCAGAGTTGCTATGAACATTAACAGCAAAGAGGATTATGTTAAGTCAAGTGAATACTAGGTATCTTCTGCTCCACATGGCATCTGTCTTCTACAGGGGAGTCCTGGGTATAAGGTGTATGTTTGAAGCCCTACCTATCATTACACTACTTTCTAAGCCCAAGGTTAGAGTTGCCCACAAAAGGTGGAGGGGAGAGCAGATTGGATGTTAATGACTTGGTGGTGACCAATTTCTTCTTCCCTCTCCCTTCTGGGCAGGATTGCTGTTTATGCTCCTTACGAGGAGGGGCCCTGCAGAGAGCAAATGATGACAGGTAAGTGTTTTGAGCAGTCTCAGAATGCCCAAGCTCAGTGCTGAGGCAGTGTGTAGGGGCACTGTCTACGTAAGCTCTTGCAAGTGACCCATGAGGATTTGGGAAGCACACTCTGAGGAGCTCTTAGAATATCAAGACTAATTTTAACAAAGACGCCAAGGGGAGTTAAGTAGTCTCAGATCTTTTCACTCCTTTCCTCTCTGATGCAGAGATGTAAGTAACATCCTCCTTTTGGAGGAGATAAGAATGTACTTAGGAGAGTATGAAAACCCKGAGAAGTCTGTGCAAGAGCTTTGTGGGCTGGAGGTGTGAACATTTACCTGYTGATATGCAGAGATGGCCATGGCCATAGTCTAGTGAGCACTTTTCAACAGAGAAAACTTTGGTTCAGACTMGTTATTTGGAGAGGGCAAGTGTCCTCAAGAAGGACACTGAGTAGAACTCAGGCAGTCTGCCCACTGTTAAATAGTGGAAAATAATGTGGAAGTTTCTGGGTTTTCCACATTAGGCAACTCATTTTCACAGAGTTGCATTTTTGTCTCTTGTTTACTTGCTCTGAGGTTTTTACCTTGAAGAGCTGGCTKTCTAAGGGGCAGTGTACACAGGTAGGTGGCAGCCAATGGTCGACATCTTGCTTCCAAGTAAAACCCTGTGGGAATGCAGCTCCTGCCTCACAGGATCTCTGTCATGCTGCTTCTGATGCATGGCTGTTCTGCTGCCAGTTCAGTCCTTTAAAGCTACTTGCTCCCATTACTAGAGGAATTTTATTCTTCACAGTTTCAGGATAGGGCTGGTAATGTTCTTCCTTCTTTGAAGTGGAAATGGTTCTACTTGAGCTTTTCACCTTTGCCTTTTTTTTTTTTGTTACCAGGGATTGAACTCAGGGCCACTAGACCAGTGAGCCACATCTGCAGCCCTATTTCATATTTTATTTAGAGACAGGGTCTCACTGAGTTGCTTAGTGCCTCGCAGTTGCTGAGGCTGGCTTTTAACTCACTATCCTCCTGTCTCAGCCTCCCGAGCTGCTGGGATTATAGGCATCTGCCACCACACATGCCTCACCTTTGCCTTTTAATCCCTTTTATACCTTTTAGATGTACACAGAACAAATCTGTTACTGCTCCCACATAACAGTCCTGCCAGGTTTTTTTTTTTCTGCTTTTTTTGGTACTAGGGGTTGACCCAGGAATGTTTAACCACTTTCCCTATGTTCAGCCCTTTCTCTCTATTTTTTAAATTTAGAGACAGGGTCTTGCTAGGTTGCTGAGGCTACTTTGAACTTGCGATCCTCCTGCCTCAGCCTCCTAAACCACTGGGATTATAGGCACGTGCCACCGCACCTGACCTTGTAGAAGGTTTTCAATGACTTTTTGTGTGTGTGTGTGGTGTTGGAGGTTGAACCCAGGGCATCACACATGCTAGGAAAGTGTGCTGTACCCCTGAGCTAAAATTAAGAGCTTTTGTCATCTTAGTTTTTCTCATCTTGGCACATTCTGGTTTCCCCAAATGCCTATAACTTACTTTAATTTTCTGTGGATGTCCATTGTGTATWCCTCTCAGTGAGGCCTGGGCCAAACCTTAAAGACTGAGTCTTTCATGGATAAAGAGAGCAAGAAGAGAGAGGTTATTTCAGCCCAGGGAAGAGGTTTGGCAGAAGCCTAGGGAAGATTATTGGCAGATTGGTGAATAGTGGAGATGTTTTCAAGAAGCACCTGGGTTCTGTGGTAAAGAGCTCAGTGTAGAGCTCCCTAGTTTATTCTCACTCCTGAAACCCACCACACCCAATTAACTGTGGCTCTGCTTATTTTGCCCCAGACTGAGGGAGGTGGTATAAGAAGTATGATCTGGCCTAACCTCGGGTAGGGTGTCCACAGTACTCAGTATGATGGCAGTATGGCTCTAACTTTCTTGAGTCCCTGGAACTGGTTGGTGGGAGTTAGGGGCCACACTGGGTGAGGGAAGAAGCACTGTTGAGAGGCCTACTTTAGAAGGGAAGGCCACAGGACCTTAGATCCAGAGGTGACTGGGGCCTTTGCCTTTTGGCAGATGGGTTCATGTTTCATGTGCTGTGGCGATCCTGGAAGCAAGATTTGTCAATATTGCAGAAAGAAGTCCTGTGGATGTGAGCAAAATCCCCCTGCCCCGCTTCAAACTGGTAAGGAATAAGTGATGGTTTTATAGGCCCCACATAATTACCCTAGTTATAAGTCTCTGGGTGGAGGGCAACAGTACCTTTCTGCTTGGCCCAGTGGCTACCTTTATCCCTTGGTTTTGGTCAGTTTGTGATTCTTGCTTTCTGTTAAATAACTTAACATCATATATGATTAGACATGGGATTAGAGTAGGCTGTGTGTACCTCATGTTTCTGGGAGGAGGGTGGCTCTGTGCATTTGGATGTAGTAACACTAGGGGAAGCTGGACTGTCAATTCCTAGAATCATTGGCTTTCTTCCTTTGGATGCAGAAATGTGTCTTCTGTAAGAAGCGGAGGAAAAGAAATGCTGGCTGCTGTGTGCAGTGTTCTCACGGCCGTTGCCCAACTGCATTCCATGTAAGCTGTGCCCAGGCTGCTGGAGTGATGATGCAGCCGGATGACTGGCCCTTTGTTGTCTTCATTACCTGCTTTCGGCACAAGATTCCCAACTTGGAGGTGAGGAAGGGTGGAGCTCAGAAGTCCTTGATAGTCTTCAGGGCCATTTTCTCTGCATGTTATGTGCATTTATTGGGTTGGCAAGTGTTTCCTCAAGTGTTGTGTTTGATGGAGAGTGCTCCTACAGGAGCCCCTTCTTAATTCATTAAGAAGGGGCTCCTGTAGGTCTCTGCCAAGCTGATTGTGGTTGATTCTTTTGGGTTATCTGCTAACTTGGTTGTCTGTCCACTAGGATAAGCTCTTTGAAGGTCCACCTCTTATTAATCTTGAGAACTGATGGGGAGAGCTCCTGACAGTTCACCATTAACTGCTACGCAGTAGGGATTTCTGTAGTCCTCTAAATGGTGACATGCAGAGAAAGATAAGTGAAAAGTTAGCTAGAGGAGTTATGAAATGGTCTGGGTAGAAGGTGGCATTCAAAGAGGTCTTGAATGTAAGAAGGAATTATGAGCAGGAAGGCATTCAGGGCTTCAGAAATAGAAGAAACAAATTTTGGAAGAATGAACATTCAAGCTGATCTTGGGCCTGTGTTGGGGGATGATACTTGAGAAGTAAGCAGCAAGGAAGATGAAGTCCCTAGGTTGCTACATTTAGGAGTTTGACCTCTCTTCCAGTGCAGGAGAACTTTGAACACTGCAATTTTGAACTATATTTTCTAACAGTCACTCTTGTGGTTTGAGGAGAGAATTCAACGAATCAGAATTTAAGGCAGGGAAACAAGTTAACATAGGAGACAGTGAGGTCTTAAGTAGGACACATAGAGTTTTAAGGTCATGTCTAACCCTGAGATCCTTAACAGGTCCCGTTGACAGGGTTTGTGGACTGCTATGGGGAGAGGGATGGGGGAGAGAGAGGAGAAGAGGAATGGGAAAGGAAAGTGAACATAACTGAATTTAGGAGACAGGAAGGATGCTATTACTAACTTATGATGATGTTACTAACTGCAGTCAGGATTGATATGGAGAAGGACTGGTTTGTCAGGGGAAGGGACAAGGATGAAAAAGASGAAAGGATATGTAGATTTCGAGGTCTCTGAAGTATTCACATTTGAGCAACAGGAAGGCCAGCTAGGTTAAGGATGAGAGGGAAGGTTTGGAGATTATCAGTTTCTGGAAGGATACTTGAACCTAGTTCCTATTGGAAATCAGGCTGTGGATAGTCCCAATGTAAGGAACAGATAGCAAAGCATGAACAAGTGAAAGCAGCCAGCAGAAAGATTAAKCGGGCCATATGCTACTGTAGAGAAGGCATGTCTGGTATGGTGGTTCTTGAGTACTCTAATTTGGGAGATCCATGGGACAGTCATATCAGATGCCAGTCTCTAGTGGGGGAAGTCTTTGCCATCAGCAAGTTATGGTTATGGTCTAATGGAATAGGTGACCATGCAGACTTTCAGCATTATGGTGAGTACAGTAATCAGAGATAGAGCATGGGAGAACCAGTCTAGGGGAATGAACTTTTAACTCTGCTTGGGATCMCAGAAAAGTCCTCCATTGACTGGATCCTTTTCTTTCACAAAGGCATTTTAATGAGCATGAGAGGTGGTGAGCGGTATGGGTGGAACCTTGGGGAGATGGGAAAATATGCAATGTGGGAATGAGGCTTTGGAGGAGTAAAAGCCTGATGTAGCATCAATTCCCAGGTCTGGTAGGGAAGTCCGAGTTTGGTCATGAAACAGTAGTACTCCATATGCTTAGGTTGATAGCTGTAGACTGCTGATGCTGAGAGGAAGTTGGGGTACTGTTGAGTATTTATCTTACGATTTAATTCTATTTGGTAAGCTTCTGCTATGTGCTAGGCACTATGTTAGATGCTAGGAAAAGTCCCTGTTCTAGCTGGGCGTGGTAGCGCACRCCTGTAATCCCAGCGGCTCATAAGTTCAAAGCCAGCTTCAGCAACTGTGAGGCACTAAGCAACTCAGTGAGACCTTGTCTCTAAATAAAATACTAAATAGAGCTGGGGATCTGGCTCACTGGTCGAATTCCCGTGAGTTCAATCCCTGGTACCAAAACAAAAAGTCCCTGTCTTCAAGGACTTTTATATATGAAGTATGTATCTTCTAGTTGAAAGATATATAGGAAACTGGTAAGAAACTACACAGGAAATAGCATTTTGGATGGTGAGAAGTATAGTAGACAAAAACCAGGATGAGGTGAGTAGAAGAGTGGRTAGTAAGGAGGGCAGCAGTGGGTGGTCCTCAGAATGTGAGGGAGTTATATGCAGACTACTGGGGAATGGCATTTCAGATAGTGGGATCCTTAGGTAAGAGCGTGTATATTCAGAGAACAGGAGAGGGTGACATGGCTAGAGTGGAGTGGGCAGGTGGTGGGGTAGTAGGGGTGGAGGCTTGCTGGACATGAGCCTGCACCTTACTTTGTTATCCTGTTTGCATCAAGGACTAGTTTAGAATGAGAAGGGTAAGGAGAGGGCACCAGAGATGATAGGTCTCTCTCTCTTTTTTCTTTTTTGGTACTGGGGATTGGACTTGGGCACTTGACCACTGAACAACATCCTCAGCCCTGTTTTCAATTTTATTTAGAGACAGGGTCTCACTGAGTTGCTTAGCACCTTGCTGTTGCTGAGGCTGGTTTTGAACTCATAATCCTCCTGTCTCAGCCTCCCATGCCRCTAGGATTACAGGCGTGCACCACCGCATCTGGTGATAGGTCTCTTATAGTGGGGGCAACTTGTTATATGCAGCTGAGGAAATAAAGGAAATCTCAATCTTTGTGCCCTCACCCTGGAGGTATAGCTTAGTGCACAGATCAGTGTGGAGCATTGCCTGGTGCCCAGAGTCTCCAGTCACTGTTGATTTTTCTACCCAAATATGTGGTGTSTGTGCATTAGTAGGTGCTGTTTGGTCAGTTCTAGTTTGGTCAGTTGTGCACTGGGAACTCAGGAGAACCGAATTYGTAGAGGAAAACAGAACCCTGGTTGGGATATGGGTTATCTGGAATGGTCTGTTTCCACACCCATTTCTTCTCCTTTTTTACTTTTCCATTTCCATGATTATATTTCTCTGATAAAGGGGGACAGATTGATGTTGGTATCCATTTGCAATTCCTATCGGCCCCATATGTGAGTTACCCAAGCTKCTTCTTTTTTCTAGCGTGCCAAGGGTGCCTTGCAGAGCATCACTGCAGGCCAGAAGGTCATTAGCAAGCACAAGAATGGGCGCTTCTACCAGTGTGAGGTGGTCAGACTCACCACTGAGACCTTCTATGAAGTCAACTTTGATGATGGCTCCTTCAGTGACAATCTGTATCCTGAGGACATAGTGGTAATGTCTGCAAGCAGCTTCTGGGACGGTTTGAGACTGGGGTCCTTCTAGGTCTGGCTAGCTGACAGGTTGTGGGGTGCCTTTTCTAGCCTGGTTCTGTGGTCCCATCAGTAGGTTCCCAAAAAGAAAGAAGCATTTGTACCGTTCTTTCCTTGCAAGGAAAATTGTGTGCTACTACGGTACTGATTCTAGAAGTTGGTGGGAATCATTGTTTTTTGCAATTCTTTAAAAAGCATGCATATTTTTCAATCTCAACTATCGCTGAAGGCATCTAGTGTGGTAGAAAAGCTCAGGGTTTGGCAAAAAACCAATGTGCTGGGCCGGGGTTGTAGCTCAGCGGTAGAGCGCTTGCCTAGCATGTGTGAGACACGGGTTTGATCCTCAGCACCAAATAAAAAATAATAAAAGGTGTGGTGTCCCATCTACAACTAAAAAAAAAAATTTAAAAAAAACAAAAAACACCGATGTGTTAATATCACCATCATTGCTTAGAAGTTGTGTGACCTCAAGAAATTTTTCCAACCCTGTTTTCTTTCTTTCTTTTTTTTTTTTTTTGTTTTATTTTGAGACGTGGTCTTATAAGTCCTTACGGCCTCCCTTATTTGCTGAGGTGGGTCTCGAATTTGCAATCCTCCTACCTTAGCTCCTGAGTTGCTCAGATTACAGGCATGTTCCTCTGTGCCTGGCTCCAACTCTATTTTCTATCATGTTTTTTTAGTATGTGCATACTGTTTTTGGTACTTTACAGGTTACTTTTTGGTAGAGAGCTTTAGGGGTAGGGGCTGGGGTTGTGGCTCAGTGACAGAGCACTTGCYTAGCATGCGTGAGGCACTGGGTTCAATCCCCAGCACCACATAAACAAATTAAATAAACAAAGTAAAGGTATTGTGTCCATCTACAACTAAAAAAAAAATAAAAAGAGAGAGAGCTTTAGAGGTAAGTAGCAATGACTTGAAGTCAGCCCTGGCTTGCTTATGATATAATACCTGAGACATTAGAGGTCCTACCTCCTTGGACCCAATCTTTAGTTTCCTGACATAATATTCAGGACTTAGTCCAGGTTTCTCTTGACCCTACTCTGCCTTTTCATTTCAGTTAGTCTAAGCACAAGTTACAATAGTGTTGCWGCTTTTTCCTTTAACAAATTGGATATTTCCATTGTTTATACTGCATTAACAACTTAATTTGTAAAAGTGMACAAATTACTTATAAGGGTGGTCTAATGTCATTGTAAAGATATTAGTATTCATAGCAGCGTTTTTTAAGTCCTTACAGTATGCCAGGCACTGTGCTAAGTATTTAAGACAAATGTGTTTCCCTTTTCATACCATGTCTGAGAAGTAGGTGTTATTATCTCTAACAATACASTAATCTCAGAACTCATTTTTCTAAAAGTTATTGAGGACCCCAAAAAGCATATATTTTTGTGGGGTTATCTCTAGTAATATTTACCCTGTTCAATATTAAAACAGATTACTATTCCTTTTTTAATGAAAAATATCTTTTCTAAAACAAAAACCACTAGTGAGAAGAATGCCATTTTTCACCAATTTTGCAAATCTCTTTAATGACACTTCTTTATTCTGTCTGTTCTGTGGTACATTATTTTGGTTAAAGTAGAGGAAGAAAATTCAGCTTCATACAGTTATGTACTTGGAAAGGGGAAGATCATTTGAATAGCTTTCAGATCATATAATTATTCTTCTCTGATATTCCACCAGGGGTAGGGTAGGTAAGAAGGATTGAATCCAGAAGCACTTAATCACTGAGCCACATCCTCAGGCAAACACCCTCCCTCCCTTTTAAATTTTGAGACAAGGTCTTGCTGAGTTGCTTAGGGCCTCGCTAAGATGCTGTGAGGCTGGCTTTGAACTTGCAATCTTCCTGTAACAAGTGGCATTTTTAAAAGGTTAATTGTAGTGTGGGATCTGAAAGCAGATCAGTAAACTTGTACTCTATTACATTAAAATCCATCRGTCTGCCTTGCACTTAGAATGGATCTTTTACCCATGCCTAATTTCATAATCCATATATTGGTCATATAGAAAATACTGGTGTAGTCAGGCATCGTGGTGCACGCCTATAATCCCAGTAGCTCGGTAGGCTGAGGCAGGAGGATCTCGAAGTCAAAGCCAGTCTCAGTAAAAAGCAAGGTGCTAAGCAAATCAGTGAGACCCTGTCTCTAAATCAAATACAAAATAGGGCTGGGGATGTTGCTCAGTGGTCTAGTGCCCCTGAGTTCAATCCCTGGTACTCCCCCTTGCCAAAAAAAAGAAAAAAAAAAAGTGCACTGAGCTATGGAAATCTTCCAAATGTTAAATTTTCTTATAAATATCAAAACATTGGACTTGGGATGTGATGCATTGGTAAAGTACTTGCCTGGCACATATGAGGCCCTGGATTCAGTTACCAGACCCACAAAAAGAAAAAAAAAATCACATTTATTAGTGTCCCTCATCTTGTCARAAGACTAAATACTGGGATGCTACAAATTGACAGTGGTGATCCCACTTTTTTGAAATTCTAATTTTTACTTGAAAGTTTGAATTTTAATTAATTATTTTTGCTGTGTTGGGAATTGAACATAGGGCTTCATGTATTCAAGGCAGGCACTCTTTCACTGAGGTACAGCTACAGCCCTTTTAATTTTATTGTAGTGTGCTAAATTGCCCAAATTGGTCTCTAATTTGAAATCTTCCTGCCTCTGCTTCCTAAGTAGCTGAGATTATAGGTGTCCATTATATATTTGTTTAATTAATTTATTTATTTTTGATTCTGGGCATTGAACCCAATGCCTCATGCACAATAGRCACTACCACTGAACTTCATCCCTAGCCTGAAAGCTTAAATTTTATTTAATTCCTCTTCCTCAGTTGTTTTCCTTCCCTCCCTCCCTTCCTTCCTTYCTTTCTTTTTTGTCACATTGCCGGGGGTTGAACCCAGAGCCTTGTGCRTGCTAGGCAAGTGTTTTGCCAACCTGAATACAGGCACTCTCTCATTGAGGTACAGCTACAGCCTGAATATAGATGATTTTTTTTTTCCTAGATAATCATCATACTGCCATATGTAGCCTGGTGTGTCTTATGAGACTTACTCATGCATTCAAGATTAAGATTTAACAAAAAGCTGGGTGCAGTGGCACACACCTGTAATCTTAGCGACCAGGAGGCTGAATCAGGAAGATTGCAATTTTGAGGCCAGCCTCAGCAATTTAGCAAGACACTAAGCAACTCAGCAAGACCCTGTCTCAAAATAAAAAAGTAAAAAGGGCTGGGAATATAGCTCAGTGATTAAGTGTCCCTGTGTTTAATCCCCATACCAAAAAAAAAGTGTAATAAAATTGTTATTGTTTCGGGGCTGGGGATGTGGCTCAAGTGRTAGTGTGCTCTCCTGGCATGCGTGCCACCCGGGTTCGATCCTCAGCACCACATACAAACAAAGATATTGTGTCCGTTGACAACTAAAAAATAAATATTWAAAAAAATTGTTATTGTTTCATCAAGGACATTGTTATGTGAAATGATACGTTTTCTTTTTTTCTTTAAATTTTGTATGCATAGCAATAACAACTTGTAGTTTGGGGCCCCCTACTTTGATTTATGCACATGGCAAGTGGTTGTACCCATCATTGATTTTACACCATYTCTGCAAATGTCAACAAGGTGCAAAAGACTAGTGGTTTTTTTTAATACTTTTTTTAATAATTAATTTTTTATGTGGTACTGAGGCTCCAACCCAGTTCCTCACATGTGTTAGCCGAGTGCTCTACCACTGAGCCACAACCCCAGCCCAAGACTAGTGTTTTAACATGAAATTAGTCATGATGTCACATGTTCCCTGCACAGGGTTGTGGACCAAGCTTTGAAAACTACTGTTATTGAATTGCATAGATCTTTAGTGGTTTATCAAGAAGTACATGTTGGACTACTTAAAACTTCCACTCAGATATTTGTTTTGGGGTGAAGGCACAATAGTTTCTGCTTAATTCTTAGATTCATATAAAACATGATTATTGATTACCTAATCCATAAATGAATTGGCAATATAATATACAGCCATTTCTACTCARTTAATGAACTAGCAAGGCAGGACATACAGTCGTATATGTCTAACTCTTGTCATATAATATGATGTTTGTCAGAGCAACTGTAAACATGCACATCCTTTTAGACTCAGTACCCTGCCCCTCTCTGATGTGTACTTTTTAGGCGTTGTCCTGTGGAACTTCTCTGAGGTCTACCAATCATAAATTCATAAACTATTGTGCTTGTACATTGTCCATCCACTGTGTACCAGGTCCCGTGCTAGGATATGGTAATGATTCATTTTAGTGTACACCCTTTTATGAGAAGTAAAAGTTCTAATGTACTTTGCTAATTCTGTGGAAGGTGATCCTTTTTTCTCACCTTGCCTGTATTTTTTTTTTTAAAGAAAGAGTGAGAGAGAGGGAGAGAGAGAGAGAGAGAGAGAGAAAGAGAGAATTTTAATATTTATTTTTTAGTATTTGGCGGACACAACATCTTTGTCTGTATGTGGTGCTGAGGATCGAACCTGGGCCGCATGCATGCCAGGCGAGCGCGCTACTGCTTGAGCCACATCCCCAGCCCCACCTTGCCTGTATTTTAATAACACATTTCTTAAAAACATAGCTGAGTATTGTTCTAGTGTTTGCTTATGACAGAGCCCTGAAGAATCCTTTAAGGGACAATTGAAGGGATGTAAAGAGGACTGTTGATTCTCCTATGCTAATTATAATCTTCTAACTTTATTAAAAAGCTATTATTTCTTGTCATCTGTTGGCAGCAGGGAACAGAGATATGGGGCATACTTTGACTCAGCAAGCTGGTCTTTGTATCTTTCAGTCCAGAGCAAGCTACCTTGCTTGAAGTATCTCAGCCAAGTATTTGTTTTGGTTCATTCTTTCCTAAGTAGGTGTTCATTACTATTGTATTTAAGTGGACCTTCCTTTCATTCTCCTTCCTTCTTCTTTCCTCAGAGCCAGGACTGCCTACAGTTGGGTCCTCCTGCTGAAGGAGAAGTGGTTCAAGTGAGATGGACGGATGGCCAAGTCTATGGAGCTAAATTTGTGGCCTCCCACCCCATCCAGATGTACCAGGTATCYGGGGGTTCTTGCTAGGGAGTTGGGAGTTGGTGGGTATTTGATTACTTCAGTGCTTTCTTTTGGGTGAGAGATGAGTCTATACTCTTGAGAGAATTAGTGGATCCAGTAACAACCTTTTCAGACTTTAGGRGTCTGTCCTGGGTCAGGTCTGCCAGTAGGGTTTCAGACATGGCATTCCTTACTCCAGTGTTGTAACACTTTCCTTTGGCTGCAGGAAATTGCTACTCTGCATGGTAGACCAGGGGAGTCTCAGGGGTATTTTAGCCCAAAGGACTCTGTTTCCTTGGCAGGTGGAGTTTGAGGATGGCTCGCAGCTTGTGGTTAAGAGAGATGATGTATACACGCTGGATGAAGAGCTTCCCAAGAGAGTCAAGTCTAGATTGGTGAGTGTGTTTTCTGTGTACCCTGGGCTCCTGTCTGGGAGGGGAGGGAAGATGGCAGGAGTATGTCCTTTTGTTTTTTTCTTGGGATAGTTGGCCACAAAGTGATTATTTGGCTTGCCTGTCCTACTGTAGTCAGTAGCCTCAGACATGCGCTTCAACGAGATTTTCACGGAGAAAGAGGTTAAGCAGGAAAAGAAACGGCAGCGGGTAATCAACTCGAGGTACCGAGAAGACTACATCGAGCCTGCACTGTACCGGGCCATCATGGAGTAGGCATTTCCAAGGTCCAAGAGGTTCCCAGCCATCAAGGCGAGAGCACTCGGGTTCCACAGCACAGCAGACACTCGGAACTCTGAAGTCTTTAAAAGTGAAGTTGTAAAAAGAAAAGGAATGAAATAACCAACCCCATCACCTTCTCACCCCAGCTGAATTGCATTCCGCTGTAGAGAAATGACAAGCTGTTTTTGGACATGTGGCAGCAGCCGTTGATCTCCCAGCTGAGGGGCTGAGCACTGGAATGCTGTGGCTGCATTAGCCCCCAGTCTGAAAAGGGGTCAGCTGTGCTGGCTGGGCGGGTTCCCCTGTTCCTGGCCTAGGACTTAGCTTCCTGCCAAGCACCTGCACCGACCAGGCAGAGGTGCTGGTGCTTGACCCAACTCTCCTTTTGTATTTATGTGTATATGTGTGTGTGTGTGTGTGTGTGTGTGTGTGTGTGTGTGTGTGTTTGGGTGTTTGGTCTGGACCAGCTTCTGTCAGCCCCTGGCCTTTACTTTTTTCTTGCCTCTTTAGGGCAAACAAAATGTGAAATTCCGCCCTCAGCTGAGCTGAGTAAGGGCCCCTGTGGGTTGGCTGAAGATGGGTGTAGCCATCTATTCAGGCTTGGAAAGGCCTCAGGAGTGCTGGCAAAGCTGCAGTGTTGAGAGGCTAAGGAGTTGATGCCACCTTTGTCCTCCCTTGAGGAGAATACAAGGGTAACATGGATATGTGCCCGCAATTTTCTAGGCACAGAACCCCTGTGGCACAGTATTACTTGGTGTGGGTAGGGAATACCCCAAAGGGAGGATTTTAATGATGGAAGCAGGCAGAGCCTGGTAGGTGATTCTGTCAACAGAAAATTGCAATCATGCAGGGGCTGGGAGGGTTAGAATGAATTGGGGCCACTGGAGGCTAGGGGCAAGTATAGATATGCCCTTGGTCTTGGGGTGGGAGGGTGCTGMTTTGAGGGTGGGGGGTGGGAATAGAGGGCAACACTGAAGGGGTTAAACAGGTTTTTGCTCCTCTTGAATTTGTTTGCCTGGGCCCAGGATTGTAGGGCTTCATACTTAACTCTGTGTATACAAGAATCAAATTTATAAACTTCCCCATTTTTTGTTACATATGAACGCTATAAACCAAATTATTTTGAAAACTGGTGCATCACCTTGTCCTTAGCAATAAAAAGTGTGTTGAGCAGATTGGCTGTGTCTGCCCCAAGGAGCCCAAGTGGCCAAGGGTCAGGCTGGGGTTTATCAAGAGTCATATGCTCTGGAACAGGGCTGTGTATTTAAAGAGTCCATGAGGCAGAGTTTGGAAAGTGGTTCCAGGAGAGGGCTCCCTTCCTTGTTAGGCTCCATATTAAGCCTCATGGTGGGCCATGGGGAGCAGGGACATTTCTGGCTATGAGCACCTCTTTTTGCTTACTCTGCCCTAGAGAGGGCCAAGAGGAGGTAAGGGTGGAAGGACCAGACTACTGAGTCTTCTCAACATAGTTTGATTTCTTATTTCCACCCCATTTGATAAATCCTAAACTGGGCTAAGTCCATGCCAGCATCTGTGTTTCATACATGTTGTGGAACCAATTTGAGTGTTTACATTCTAGGTACTTGGAGAGCAAGTGACTTATACCCAGTAGGGTTCTGAAGTTGCTCTCCAAGCTACCTATAGTTGGTGAAAACTTCCCAGAAGGAATATCCTCTTTGCCTTAAGGTTGATGGGGACAAAGGGGAGCCTYAAGGCAGGAAGGGGACAGTAAATAGGTGTCAGACTCTGGTGCAACATAGCTGTCTAGCTGGCCTTCAGAGGTGCTTCCAGTGGCGTGTCCCTGTCCAGGTACAGGAGATAAGAGTCAGCTCAGCTACCCAGTGCTTCGTGTCCCTGGGACTTGGGAGGTGGCTGCTACTTGGTACTGATTGTAGGTGAAGGGAAGAGCAAAAGGTTTCAAAGATGCTTTTCTATACCAACTCCTGGTGTCAAGGCAAGGTTGACCCTTTGCCCTTTACTCAGGGAGTCCCAGAGGATGTGCCAGGAGAGGCTGGCCAGAACCTGGACTTAATGGAATGTTCAGTGGACCCTGGGAGCACACATGTTTGCAGGGGAAAAAACACTAACCTATCTTTCTCCACAGGGTCTAGGCCTCCCCAATGCTCTCTGACCCTGCTGTCCCTAGTCATGCTGAAGGACCTGCAGGCCAAGGTGTCTGATTTAATATCAGTAGAATTCTTAATTAGAAGATTAGAAGCCAACCTTTTTCTTTCCTTCTTTTTTTTTTTTTTTTTTTTTTTTACTTTGGTTACTTTGGTTTTTTTTTTTTTTTTTTTTTTTTTTTTTTAAATTTACTTTGTCCTTGAGGAACCCAAGTTCAAAGAGGTGATGAACTGGCCTGTTTTGTTTTTTTAAGTGATCCAACCCAGGCCCTTGAGCATGCTAAGTATTTGCCCTACCCCTGATCTACACCTCAACCCTGGCTTGTGCCTTTTTCCTTCACTGGCTAGTTAGTCAGGTCTGAGTTTCAAGCCAGACTGACCCAAATTAAAAGCCAGACCAGTTTCCCCCTGCCGGCTTGCATCCCCTCAAGCCCTTTTTATAAGAAACTGCTTTCCTTTAGTAATGTAGGGTCCTTGGGTCGGTATATAAAAAATGACAGTTCAAGTCCCTTAAGGCCAGAGCTTGGCTAAGGGAAAGAGGACGCAGGATGGGAGAGGGGGACTTCCTGGAGCTGCAGTATAGTGGGTGGGGTAGTCGTGTGTCCCGACTAAACATCTTCTACCAGCTCTKAAGTTAGTAATGTCCGAGGGCAATCTGTACCTCCGTGCCTTCTTACCCCACAGAATTAAGCAGGGCTTAAAGGGTCCAAAGCCTTGGGCCTCAGGAGGGAACTGCTGCTCGCAGCCTGGAGGATGAGATGAGGCATCCTTTGGCGTGAAGTGACCGCGACCACCCTGTACTTTGGGACACACTCCCCAGCAAGGAAATAGGCTCTCAATGGGCTGGGTCTTAGGAGATGTCCGCGAGGAAAGTGTGTCCTCTGGGCCTAGGAGAGGACGAGGCGAGGTCGTCCGCGCTGCACCTGCGGCAAACCCGAGCACTGCATCTTCCRCAGTCTGGGTACCCCTGGCTGGCGGGATGGGTGGGGCGCCCGCTGCGAGCTCCGGGCTCCGGTGCCTATTGGGCCGCCCTGTCCTGCGCCCGCCCGCCCTGCGGCGCAGCCCCGCATTGGTCAGCCCGGCGCCCCGCCCGGCTCTCGCGCGCCCATTGGCCATGGATGCCCGACCCCCGGCGAGGGCGCTAAGGCGAAGAGCGGGATTGGTGGTCCAGCCATCCCGGCTTGCGGCCACGCGCTCCGCCCGCCGCTGCGTCCTCACTATGGCGGCGCCCATGGAGCCCACCGTGTCGTGGGCGCCCGCCGGGGTCCCCCGCGGCTGCCGCCGCCGCCTGCGCCGTCGCCTCCGCCTTCCCGCCCCGCGTGGGGTAGGGCGCCGCCTCCCCACTGTCTCCCTCTCCGCTGCGGTAAGGGCCTGCCCTGCGCTCTTCGGGGCGCGACAGCTACTGCAGCTAACGGTCGCCTCCCCGCCCCTCCCCCACGCCCGCGTCCCGGGCCCGGCGCCGAGTCCCAGAGCTCGTGCTGGGGAAGGAGGGATCTGGCACAACCCGGTGGACGCTCGGGCTGAAATCTGGAATCTCCCTTGGGTGGGGCTGCTGGGGCTGAGGGGAAGGCCCGCCTGAAACGGGCCAAGGGGTCTGAGGTCACCTGCGTGAGACCCCGMAACGCTGCGACGCTTAGCGCAGAGGAAGGACACGGTCTTTCTGGCCCAGCTTTAGGAAGAGAAAGAAGTCCAGGGAAAGGGATTCAGCATCTTATGGGTACTGGTTGTTATTGCTTACTGCTCTACCAGAAGCTAGATCCTCAGAGGCACCGGGGTCAATATGATTGGCAAAGTATGTGTCTTGATTCCTTTCCTTCTGGCACTTTTCCCCATTGTCTTCTCTATGAGCACGTTTGCAAGAGAAAATGTCTTAGGAGAGGAGGTTTGGTTAGGAAAATGTTCCATAAATATGTTGGACTCCTTTTCATCATGGTATCTGTTTTTATGATTCCTTATAAACCTCATTTTTGTTTGACATGTGAAGGAGTGAAATGTTWAAACTGAATCATTGTAATTAACCGAGGGCAGGACCAGTTAAGGCAGCTGTTATTTCCAGAAAGCAAAGAATACTTAAAAACTTTTCTGTGATGTACTTTAAATTATTTGTACTACCGATAGTTGAACTCGACTTATGTTACTGAAAGTAAAATAGTCATGACAACTTAGGCTGTTTCTAAGTCAGACTCATCTTGGAGTTTTGATTACCCAACTGTTTACTGCACCTAGAAGTCAATAGAGGATTAAAAGGAAGCTGGCACAAAAATTTATGACCAAATGGTAGTTTCAAGTAACTTCTTAAGGCAACAGTAACTCAAAGACATTTTGAAATATCAAGTGGAAAATTTCTCAATTTCACAAGTCTGAATGTCTAACTATGGTTTAATAAAAGTAAATTATTATTGATGAAATGACATGCATGTTYTTAGAGAATAACTGACTTGTTCAGTCAATCAATCAAGTGTTTATTAAGTACAYGTTTTGTCCARTGCATTGATTGAAGGAAACTCAAAGACAATGAAGATATGAAAGTTGTGAATGGGCCAGTAATGTAGTTGTGGGAATAAAGAACGTAAAGGAAAGTAACTAATGATGTGGTCACTGGAGTTCCAAGACAGCATGCACTATGAGAAGTCAAGAAAACGAAAAGCACATGTGTTTCTCAGGGTTTCACAGGGGAGCTGAGGCTTTAGTTGGGCCACAAATAGCCAGTAGCCTGGATGGAGGAAGAATGAGCTGATGGRAAGCAAGGAAGGTAAAGTTGACCGAATGAACTTGAAATACACAAAGGTGGTCCCAGAGGTTCATTACTGGAAAAAGTGGGAGATGAGGTTGTACGAAAAACAAGTTGATGGCCTCAAACTGAGGAAGTACCTTTGCCCTGGGTGGAGCAAAGGATAAACAAATAGCAGTAGTAAGTACTTCCTTCAAATGAAGTGGGGAGCCAATCTTTAGGAAAGATACACAGTAACACTTTACCTGCCATTGTTTTACACACACTCCTCTTTGCTGGTACTGGAGACTGAACCCAGAGGCACTTGATCACTGAGCTACATGCCAAGCCCTTGTAATTTTTTATTTTGAGACTGGTTCTCACTAAGTTGCTCAGGCTGGCCTCAAACTTGTCATCCTCTTGCCTTAGTCTCCTGAGTAGCTGGGATTATAGCCATGTGCCATTGTACCTATTTTACTTTTCATTGTTACTTTTCAGATTAACTGTAGTTATTTGGAATAATAATTCTCAGCYACCACAGATCTGTACCTCAGGTCTCTTTTTGCCTTGTTTTCTACCCCTGTGTTGCCAGTTCTTGTCGATCCTGCCTCCATAGCATTCTGGCATTTGCTACATTTCCACCCTTACTGTCATCACACTGATTTGAGGCCATCTACATCAATCCCGTGAATTTCCCCAGAACCTCCCTCTCTTGAAAAACYTTCCTTTCCTTCCATCACTTTTCTTTCTTACCATCACTTCCAAGTGTGTCACTTCCCTGGCTAGGATTTTCATTGCCTCTGCCCTGTCTGTTGCGTTAGGCACAGACCAGCCTGGCATGGGCAGTGTGGGCAGATGCATTTGTTGTCATGCCCTTACTTTTATTCTATTTTTCAAGTCAGTGGTTTGCTGTTTATACTCCATGCTTTGCTTATATTGACTTTTTCTATCTTAAATGATGCCCTTAAATCTTTCATTACTGTTTCTACTCATGTTTTAGACCCATTAAATATGGAACTTCCTCTTTTTTTTTTTTTTTTTGTTACTGGGGAGTGAATCCAGGAGTGCTTAACCAC